GCCAGCTGAGAGACATAGTCTCTCCAGCGTGTCCTGGGTCTTCCCCGGGGCCTCCTCCCGGTGGGACGTGCCCGGAACACCTCCCCAGGAAGGCGTCCAGGAGGCATCCTGAACAGATGCCCGAGCCACCTCAACTGGTTCCTCTCGACGTGGAGAAGCAGCGGCTCTACTCCGAGCTCCTCCCGTGTGACTGAGCTCCTCACCCTATCTCTAAGGGAGCGCCCAGCCACTCTGCGGAGAAAGCTCATTTCGACCGCTTGTATCCGCGATCTCGTTCTTTCGGTCATTACCCAAAGCTCATGACCATAGGTGAGGGTGGGAACGAAGATTGACCGGTAAATCGAGAGCTTCGCCTTTCGGCTCAGCTCCCTCTTTACCACAACGGTCCGATACAGAGACCGCATCACTGCGCACGCTGCACCGATCCGCCTGTCAATCTCACGCTCCATTCTTCCCTCACTCGTGAACAAGACCCCGAGATACTTGAACTCCTCCACTTGAGGAAGGACCTCTCCACCCACCTGGAGAGGGCAAGGCACCTTTTTCCGGTCGAGCACCATGGCCTCGGATTTGGAGGTGCTGATTCTCATCCCAGCCGCTTCGCACTCGGCTGCAAACCGTCTCAGTGCATGCTGCAGGTCCTGGTTCGTTGGAGCCAACAGGACGACATCATCCGCAAAAAGTAGAGATGAAATCCTGTGGTTCCCGAACCGGACCCCCTCCGGCCCCTGGCTGCGCCTAGAAATTCTGTCCATAAATACAGTGAACAGAACCGGTGACAAAGGGCAGCCTTGGCGGAGGCCAACATGCACCGGGAACAGGTCTGACTTACTGCCGGCAATGCGAACACAGCTCTGGCTCCGGTCATACAGGGACCAGACGGCCCTCAGCAGAGGACCCCGGACCCCGTACTCCCGGAGGACCCCCCAAAGGACACCCCGGGGAACACGGTCGAACGCCTTCTCCAAATCCACAAAGCACATGTGGACAGGTTGGGCGAACTCCCATGAACCCTCGAGTATCCGATGGAGAGTATAGAGCTGGTCCAGTGTTCCGCGACCGGGACGAAAACCACACTGCTCCTCCTGAATCCGAGATTCGACCATCGGACGTAGCCTCCTCTCCAGTACCTTGGAGTAGACCTTACCGGGGAGGCTGAGGAGTGTGATCCCACGATAATTGGAACACACCCTCCGGTCCCCCTTCTTGTAGAGAGGGACCACCCCACCCCGGTCTGCCACTCCATTGGCACCGCCCCCGATCGCCACGCGATGTTGCAGAGACGTGTCAGCCAAGACAGTCCTACAACATCCGGAGACTTTAGATAGTCAGGACGGATCTCATCCACTCCCGGCGCCTTGCCACCAAGGAGGCTGCCAACCACCTTGGTGACCTCGGCCAGGGAGATGGAAGTGTCCGCCCCAACATCCTCAGCCTCTGCCTCCTGAACGGAGGACGTGACGGGGGGATTGAGGAGAACCTCGAAGTATTCCTTCCACCGCCCGACAATATCCTCAGTCGAGGTCAGCAGCCCTCCACCCGCACCATACACGGTGTTGGCAAAGAACTGCTTCCCCCTCCTGAGGCGCCGGACGGTTTGCCAGAACCTCTTCGAGGCCGACCGATAGTCATGCTCCATGGACTCTCCGAACTCCTCCCAGTCCCGGTTTTTTGCCTCTGCAACAGCCCGGGCCGCGGCACGTTTGGCCTGCCGGTACTGGACAGCTGCCTCAGGAGTCCCACGAACCATCATTGCTCGATAGGACTCCTTCTTCAGCCTGACGGCATCCCTTACTGCCGGTGTCCACCACCGGGTTCGGGGATTGCCGCCGGGACCAGCACCAGAGACCTTGCGACCACAGCTACGAGCCGCCGCATTGGCGATAGAGGAAGAGAACATGGTCCACTCGGACTCGATGTCCCCCTCCTCCACTGGGACCTGGGAGAAACTCTCCCGGAGGTGTGAGTTGAAAGTCCGTCTGACAGGGGGCTCAGCGAGACGTTCCCAGCAAACCCTCACTATACGCTTGGGTCTGCCAGGTCTGACCGGCTTCTTCCCCTGCCAGCGGATCCAACTCACGACCAGGTGATGATCGGTTGACAGCTCCGCCCCTCTCTTTACCCGAGTGTCCGAGACACGCGGTCGAAGGTCAGATGATACGACAACAAAGTCGATCATCGACCTCCGGCCTAGGGTGTCCTGGTGCCACGTGCACTGGTGGACACCCTTGTGCTCGAACATGGTGTTCGTGATGGACAGGCCGTGACTGGCACAGAAGTCCAACAACTGAACACCGCTCGGGTTCAGATCAGGGGGGCCGCTCTTCCCGATCACCCCTCTCCAAGTGTCACTGGCATTTCCCACATGGGCGTTGAAGTCCCCCAGGAGAATAACGGAGTCCCCGGGCGGTGCACTGTCCAGTACCCCTCCCAAGGACTCCAAGAAGGCCGGGTACTCTGCACTACCGTTAGGCCCGTAGGCCGTCACAACAGTGAGAGACTTGTCCCCCACCCGGAGGCGGAGGGACGCGACCCTCTCATTCACCGGGGAGAACTCCAACACGTGGCGGCTGAGATGGGGGGCAATGAGTATGGCCACCCCAGCTCGCCGCCTCTCCCCGCGGGAAACACCAGAAAAGTGGAGCGTCCAACCCCTCTCAAGGAGTTGGGTTCCAGAGCCCAAGCTGTGTGTGGAGGTGAGGCCGACTATCTCTAGTCGGTATCGCTCAACCTCCCCCCCACAAGCTCGGGCTCCTTCCCCCCCAGTGAGGTGACGTTCCACGTCCCAAGAGCCAGATGTTGGGTGTGTGGACTGGGTCGTCGAGGTCTCCGCCTTCGACCGCTGCCCAGTCCTCGCTGCACCACGCCACCACGGACCCCTCTGCAGGTGGTGGGCCCACAGGAGGGACTGCCCACGTCATCCCTTCGGGCTGAGCCCGGCCGGGCCCCGTGGGCTAAGGCCCGGCCACCAGGCGCTCGCTTGCGAGCCCCGACCCCAGGCAAATACTCATTCAAATACTCATTCAAATACTCATTCAAATACTCATTCAAATACTCATTCAAATACTCATTCAAATACTCATCCAAATACTCATTCAAATACTCATTCAAATACTCAAATACTCATCCAAATACTCATCCAAATACTCAATCAAATACTCATTCAAATACTCAAATACTCATCCAAATACTCATCCAAATACTCAATCAAATACTCATCCAAATACTCATCCAAATACTCAATCAAATACTCATTCAAATACTCAAATACTCATCCAAATACTCATCCAAATACTCAATCAAATACTCATTCAAATACTCATTCAAATACTCATCCAAATACTCATCCAAATACTCATTCAAATACTCAATCAAATACTCATCCAAATACTCATCCAAATACTCATCCAAATACTCATTCAAATACTCAAATACTCATTCAAATACTCATTCAAATACTCATCCAAATACTCATTCAAATACTCATTCAAATACTCATTCAAATACTCATTCAAATACTCAAATACTCATTCAAATACTCAAATACTCATTCAAATACTCAAATACTCATTCAAATACTCATTCAAATACTCATTCAAATACTCATTCAAATACTCATTCAAATACTCAAATACTCATCCAAATACTCATTCAAATACTCATTCAAATACTCAAATACTCATCCAAATACTCATCCAAATACTCAATCAAATACTCATCCAAATACTCATCCAAATACTCAATCAAATACTCATTCAAATACTCAAATACTCATCCAAATACTCATCCAAATACTCATCCAAATACTCAATCAAATACTCATTCAAATACTCATTCAAATACTCATTCAAATACTCATCCAAATACTCATCCAAATACTCATCCAAATACTCATCCAAATACTCATTCAAATACTCAAATACTCATTCAAATACTCATTCAAATACTCAAATACTCATCCAAATACTCAATCAAATACTCAAATACTCATCCAAATACTCATCCAAATACTCAATCAAATACTCATCCAAATACTCATCCAAATACTCAATCAAATACTCATTCAAATACTCAAATACTCATCCAAATACTCATCCAAATACTCAATCAAATACTCATTCAAATACTCATTCAAATACTCATCCAAATACTCATCCAAATACTCATCCAAATACTCATTCAAATACTCATCCAAATACTCAAATACTCATCCAAATACTCATTCAAATACTCAAATACTCATCCAAATACTCATCCAAATACTCAATCAAATACTCATTCAAATACTCATTCAAATACTCATCCAAATACTCATCCAAATACTCATCCAAATACTCATTCAAATACTCAATCAAATACTCATCCAAATACTCATTCAAATACTCAAATACTCATCCAAATACTCATTCAAATACTCAAATACTCATCCAAATACTCATCCAAATACTCAAATACTCATCCAAATACTCATCCAAATACTCATTCAAATACTCATTCAAATACTCATTCAAATACTCATCCAAATACTCATCCAAATACTCATTCAAATACTCAATCAAATACTCATTCAAATACTAAAACAGAGCAAGACTTATCATCATCACAGAAAATGTCCTACCACTGAGGAAGGATTGGAACCATCTAAGTGCGGGGCCACAGAGGCCAACATGGTGCTTCAGGCATCCCTCTCTGTCTGTGTCTCTCTGTGTCTCGCTCTCTGGTCTCTCTCTGGTCTCTCTCTGGTCTCTCTCTGGTCTCTCTCTGGTCTCTCGCTGGTCTCTCTCTCTGGTCTCTCTCTGGTCTCTCTCTGGTCTCTCTTTCTGGTCTCTCTGGTCCCTCTCTGGTCTCTCTCTGGTCTCACTCTGGTCTCACTCTGGTCCCTCTCTGGTCTCTCTCTGGTCCCTCTCTGGTCTCTCTCTGGTCCCTCTCTGGTCTCTCTCTGGTCCCTCTCTGGTCTCTCTCTGGTCCCTCTCTGGTCTCACTCTGGTCTCTCTCTTCAGCTGCCATGATGTGGACAGTGGGAATGGCGAATCCAGCTGAACACAGC